ACCGGACATACTCCTGCCCATTTCTTCGCCACCACGCTGGTGTCGATGATGTGAGTGATGTTGCGAATGGCGCTCTCGACTTGGCCTCAGGAGATCTCTTGCGTCATCGACATCATCATCGTCTTCTTCCATATCTTCCTCGTCGAGGAGATCATCTGGGTCATCGTGGTCCAGGTCGCGTAGCATGTCTCCATCGTCATCGTCCTCCCCGTGAAGCATGCCCCCAGCCCCGCCGGCAGAAGCAGAGCCCATAGGACCACGACTCGAGCCTATAGTCATGTCTTCGGGCAAACCCGTACCACTCACACCCGACCCGGGCATCAGGGAAGTACGTGGACGGACTTGAGCCTTGGGATTAAAAGGAAAGCACCACTGGTAAGAAGGGATGTCTACCACCAACAAAGACACTCATGCAAGGCAAGAGAAAACTTTTCGAAGTAAGATGTATTAATAATTCTTGTAGATGAAATGCTGAGCATTGGAAATCTGATACCTTAGTTTTCAGTGGGTGCTCTAAGCTGTTGACTAGAATCGTATTTTAGTTTAAACTAATTTCAAGGGGAGAGTCCAACCGCAGTGTCCGGTGTCATCTTACGGTTTCCATACTAGCTAGTATGTCATCATTCAAGTACTTTTAATACAAATATTTGGCTTCGCAGGGCTTCTTTGCGATCATCCATCAGACAAATATTTTACACACTTAAGAGAAATAGTTCTGATTAACAGAATTAAAAGTGGAAAATTACCTTGCTCGCTGCTTCTATGACACGATCAACGGCTCTACCGAACTCTTCCAAAATAAGACGTTCTTGTGAGGCCGGTGGCAAATCGCGGCGCTCCGCATCCTCGGCCTGAGCAAGAAGACAACTGGCTGTTGCTTCGATCGTTTCCCAGGTGAAGAATACGTGCGGAAGCCTATGAAAAAAAAGTGAGATTATAAGGCGGGTGTTTTCAATTCATAGTAGTTTTTTCAAACTGTTTAGTAAGTCCTGGGGTTTCTAAGATTACAATTTACACCTGCAAAAACAATATTCAACAAAAAAGTCTAACGCATCCAAATTATGAAGGGGGTGATTTTCTAATTAAAAGAAAAAACAAATACGACTTACGTTTCTGGGGGCGGTTTAATGAGGTGTTTTTTAAAAGCATTCGGCTGGCGAGACCTTAACGAGCCCATAGCAGCCAAACGCATCAGAGAACGGCGTTCGATGCTGTCCTCTGTGTTTCGGCAACCCTGACATCTGCAAAGATCGGAGCAGCTGATTTTAGCCTCATAGCACTCACAGTAATTCTTGAGACATCCCGATCTTTTACAATTGCAGCCTTTGGTGTGTTTCCTTTCGCCCTCACCCCGGCCAATTTTCGGATGAAAAGCCATGGGATTCCGCTCAAGAGTCATCTTGATTGCCCTGCCGCGCTCCTCCTCATAGGCTAGGTTGTTCATGCAGTTGTTGCAGTTACAATTTTGAC